TAATCAGTTGCTGTGTTTTACTGTAGAACAGGTAGAACAATATGTAATTATACCAGAACATGGCATGGTGTTTCCAGTTGTGGAATCTGAATATGAGGAATATAACTTGGACAAAATAGTAGCTAATCATGCAGACCAATCTCAGTTGCAGGCTTTGCTTTGTAAACCTGCAGATGTTTTTGCTAAACACAAACATGATTGCAGTTGCATGACAGTCACTATTGTTGTGGAAGGAGGAGATGTACCAGCCCAAAGACAGTATACTCATCCAGACCAAGCCATACCATACATATTAATTATCAACTATCAACTCTTTTCTAGCACAGGGTATACTGTGTAGACGTACTTCCACTGCCTATTCTCCTATTTGACAGTGGGAAAAATAAAAGGTTCCTGGAATCTCACCATTGATTATAGAAATATGAATCAGGTTACATCCACTTGTGCCCTTACCGTGGTAAAAGTGCCTGATTTCATCAAGTCCTTTGATCCAGAGGCTATGTGGTTTACTATCCTTGACATCAGTTACTTTTTTTTTAAGTTAAGAGATGGGAAGACAAAATTATATTATATTATATTATATTATATTATAGAAGTTAGGGAAAAGAAGAAGAAAAAAAGAGCAGGGGAAGTTAGAAGTTAAGATTAATAAAAATTTTGTCTTTAAACTTTGACTTTCTATTAGTCTCTTAGAGTAATGTAGATTTAGATAAGTCAGTTAAGTATACTGTTAGTTTCAATAAGATGTTAGCATTAGCCTCTACAAATCTCATTTGAGAACTGAGAAACCTGTCCTCATGGTATACCAGAGGTAAAGCTCATCTTTCATCTCTTGTCACAATATTGTTAAGAATGGGCATGAGTATATTAACCACTGCTAATAGAAATAATGACATATGTATTTTAGGCTAATAATGCTGTATTTGTAACCCTGATTTATTTTATTTACTCAAATTGCTATTTGATTTTTATTCCATATATTTTAATAAAGTTTTAAAATTATTTTTGTCTCAGTGTGAACATCCTATCATATGCCCAAAGATCTCTGGTATATTCTGTACAGGCTGATTTGCCTTCATTTGATTGCATTGTATCTTCAATATATTTTCCAAATTATCCTGATAAATAGCAAACTGTTGAAAAACTGAGTCATTGAGTTCAAATACTATAAAATACAACCCACTGCATCAGGGGGTGGGGAAACCTTTTTGGGCCAGGGGCTGCTGACCAACAGAAAAATCAGTCATGGGCCACATACAAGTGAGAAGCAAGAAACAACAACAACAACCAAAAACCCCTCAGGGACGTGGCCCCTGACTGAGAAGGAGAACAACATTTCCCGCATTCTCCTTGCACACCAGAGCCTAGGGGGCCTAGATTAGTAGATTCTGTGTGCTCCAGCCCTGTGGTGAGGTGGCAGGGGGGCTGGAGCACCAGCACATGCTCCCCAATGCTGGGGACAGGGAGCCCTGAGCCTCGGGGGCTGCATCCAGGCAAGCCAGGGGCAGCATCCAGCTCGGGGGCAGTCCAGGCCTGAGGTTCCCCAACCCTGCACTACATAAAAGAAATGCTTCAGAGGGATAGCCAAGTGAGTCTGTAACAGGAAAAACTTAAAAAACAACAAATACCTTAGGTGATAGTCTAGTACAGTGATCCCCAATGCGGTGCCCGCAGGCGCCATGGTGCCGGCTGGGCCATTTATCTGCACCTACAGAGCAATCTGGGCTGGCCCGGGCATGCGGCAGGTGCCAGCCCCAGGAGCATGGGCGGCCCCTGCCTGGGGTCGCGGCACATGCTGCTGCTGGTCATGGTTCCGGGGTCATGGCAGAATCCGGGGTCGGCCCCGGGCGCATGGCGCATGCTTGGCCCTGCCCCCAGGCATGTGGCCCATGAGCGGCCCCGCCCCTGGACGTGTGGTGCGTAAGCGGCCCCGCCCTCAGGCACTGAGCAGCCCCAAAACATTGGGGACCACTGGACTAGGGAGACTTTTCCCTACCCACACATTGCAAGAAATCCAATTCTCTGCAAGTCAAGACTGTGTGGCCTAATGGATAAGGCATCTGATCCAGGTGCCCGGGAGCCTCTATAGTTGGGGACCACTGGTCTAGTAGCACCTTAAAGACTAACAAAACATGTAGATGGTATCATGAGCTTTTGTGGACACAGCCCACTTCTTCAGATGATTGGAGTATAAGTCCAGATCTAAGAATAAATAAGGGAAGAGGGGTGGGGGGGAGGGGAAAAAAAAGGGGGGGGGAGAGACAGTGAGTAGATGGTTCAAATAGTTACAAGAGGCTGATAAGAACAATTAGCACCTCCATTTTTTGTTTGGTTGGTTGATTAAGAGTAAGTGTGCCAATGTTTGAGATGATGGGTCATCCGGGATTTCCAGGTTTGTGTATCTTGAGTAGCAGATAGAAAACTCCTGGTTGGAGATTAGAGGAGGGGGTGTAAATTTGGTCCTGAGCAGCAGCAGGGAGCTTCAAGAGCAGTGGTTTCGGAGGGGGGGGGTTGGTTAATTCTTTAGTGGGATCACAGGAGAGAGGCTTGTAGAATCTTGTGTTGGTGAGTTGTTTGGTCACCTCCTGTTCATAATCTGTTCTGTTCATGATGACTACAGTGCCCCATTTGTCAGCCTCTTTGATTATGTTAGGATTGTTTTTGACGCTGTGTATAGCATTGCGTTCTGCATGACTGAGGTTATATGTTATATGATGTTTGCTGACAATATCAGCTTGCAGAAGCAGTCGATGTAGAAGTCAAGACTCTTGTTACAACTGTTAGTAGGGGTCCACATAAAAGTCTTCCTCTTGTGGGATTGATGGGGGGAGCAGCAAGATCAGTGTGTTGTACATCAGTGTGTTGGAAATATTCCTTTGGCAGAGGTGGTGAAAATAGGCTTCCAGATCTCCACAGGACTGGATCATATTCGTAGGGATGGTGGGGCAGAAGGAGAGTCCTTGATAAAGGACACATAGCTCTGCTGAGATAAGATAATGGTTGGATAGGTTGACAATGTTGCTAGGTGAGTTGAAAGTATCGGGAATGAGAGATCCTGAGGCATGTAGGAGTTTGGATAGTTTATTGTCCTTTTTCTTCTGAAGGGAGATGAAGTGATCCTGGTAGGTGGCTTGTTGAATTTTAGTAAAGTCTGGAGAAGATGAAGTGTGTGTGCAAGCTTGGGGTTTTTTTTTATGATAGTTTCTAATGTTAAGAGCTCCTTGATTTTCTTCTATTTGTTGTAGTCATAAATGTCTGAAGTTCCGTCATTCAAAATATTTACCAATAGATGGCAGTGTTGATTAATTTATCACAATATTTTCTTCTGTTATAGCAACAAATAGGTTTTTGAGACTGAGGAAAACATAACTTAAAAAGTTTCAAGGGGTAACCGAGTTAGTCTGTACAGGAAACTCCAGTCATCTGAAGAAGTGGGCTGTGCCCACATAAGCTCATGATACCATCTACATGTTTTGTTAGTCTATAAAGTGCTACCAGACCATTTGTTGTTTTTTAAGTTTACAACTTAAAAAGTAATTTAAACTGATAGCATTTCTAAAGGAATTCAACATACAATTCAACTAATTGCAAGTGTGGAAATTGTTGTAATTTTTCTAACTCTCAAAGTATTCCAGTAAGATGTTTACAGTATATCGATGTTTGTTTAAACTTCATTGACATTTGAAAATACAAGAAATGTGAATTCCATAAATAACATGTGCAGTATTATCTCAGAGTTCCCCTCTGTCTTAGGGAATGAAATATTGAGGCACAGATATTTGATATCGGGACAGTTGGCATAAAAAATGGCTAGAGAAGTGGCAAAAATTCACTAAAGAATGTAACGGTTTTTGTGAAATTGACTACTTTTGTATTTTAATTGTAGTTATGATTTGGTAAACATGGCATTGAGGGATTCCAGGACTTCTCTGCTAACCCATTTTAAAGTACATAGCAAAACCTGGATATGATGAGCTTAAACCGATGCAACAAAGACAACTGCTGAAATGAGTCTTTTGTGAATCATGGGTTATTATCTGTTCGCTCATCTGGACTCCCACAGAGATCAAACTGCCATTTACAGTGTGTTAATATGTTGTGACTCAATTTGTTTTGCAACAGCTCTGTTTCTGTATGTAGTCATCCATTAAAGAGAGGTAATATTTCCCATCCAACTCAGGCAGGTCTGCACCAGTCTTGGGTCAAGAATAGACCAAAAATCTCCTGTGGCTCTGAGTCCTTTTTCATTGTGTTTCCTGTATTTGTTACAATGTCACACTTGACAGCACTGAGACCCTGCTGGACTAGGACATCTCGGGCTGCGTTCTCATGTTTCAGTGCCCAGGCAGGGTAATAAGAAGACCAAGGTTCTATGAACCACCTAAACTGGACTCAAGACCTGCATTGGGGTGACTTTGACCCTTGTGTACTTATACACAAATATAGTTGTCATAATGGTCTGATACTCCATATTAGTGACTTAACATTCTGTACATTATACATTCCTTTGGCTCTTGGATCTAGATCAGAATGTATTGTATTCATATTGGACCTGGTCCAGAGCTTAATAATGCTGCCCTTAATGGGAACCCACACAATATACAATTTCTTTTCAATCAGCAGTGTAGCCTTCCTATACCATAATTCAGGCTATGGAACCATTAAAATCTGAAGCTGAATTAGCTTAAAATATAGCTGTCCTCTTTGTGCCAGCAAACTTTAACTATTACTTCAGATGATTCTACTGAAGCTGCAGTATGTGTGGTAAACAAAGTGTACTTCACTTTGCCCTTTCAAATTTGGTTGTGCTCTGTAGAAAGTAGAACAGATCCATTATTTAGATAACATGTGAAGTTGCATGTCATGAGTACAAACCTGTTTTTGCATGAAACTTTTCTGAATCATAAATTAATCTGCCTTGATCATGTGCCTGGTTTTTTAACCTAGCTGAGCCTACTCTGTTAAATACCATCTATGAAACTAATATTTTCCTTCTGCAGAGGAGAACAAATTTCTTCATCAAGAAAAAAACCGTGAAAGGAAGGCAACAAAATAAAGGTAAGGGATTATACTTCACAGCTCAAGGTTAATGTGATCATAGCTTAGTGTAGGTTGCCTGAAGGAAATATCTGGGATCATCCTGGCCAGAAATTGGGATCCAACTACCTGGACAGTCTTTTCTTTCAGGCATGATTTACATGTGTGTGAGGGATGGGGGGTGGGGAACAGTGTGTCCTGTAAACTGTGTACTTGTCCAGCCACCACTGAGAGATTCAAAAGCCACCCAGAAGATTAGCAGAGTGCCCACAGCTAGTTTTTTTGTTGTTGTTGTTTCTATTGGTAGTGCATATATTTACATGCCTCAGTGCACATAAACATTTATTCTGCACATGGATGGAAAAGATTAAAGGAAACATTGGCAATGTGCAGAATACATTTTTATCTGCACCGTGGCAATTACAAATATATCTAAGTGAAGGTTAAGAGGAGACCTATTCATGATCTTTAAGTAAATAGATATCCCAGGAAAAGAGATATAGGCCTATCTAATAGAGCAGATAAAAAATACAGCACAATCCAATGGCTAGAAGGCGTCTTTCTAAAAGATATGCACTAGCTCAACTAAAAGTGTCTGAGATTGATGGAAGACATTGTGGGGGAAGTTCTCTGGCCTGTGTTAAGCAGGAAGTCAGACTAGATGATCACAATGGTCCCCTCCAGCTTTAAAATCCATGAAAATATTTAATCTAGATTTCTTGTAAATCCTCTGTGAGCCTGTTATGGTGGGAATCTTGCCCTTGATTTCTGTTGGTTTTTGAACAGGCCCCTGGTCTTTATACTCTTTCATATACTACTCCCCAAAAATATGTGTTTTTTCCAAGATACTTGTGCAATATGGGGCATAAGGCATCCCAGAGCTGAGGTGCAAGTTTCTTCAAACAGCTGAGAAATGTATATATTTGTGTGTAACGTTTTATGAGAGGTAACAGGGTTATTCTGTCCTGGCCATATCACAAATATCATGGTTCAGAATTCTTATCAGCCAGATTCCTTTCTTCTATCCAATGTATAAGTATGCATGTGAACACACACACATACTTATGAACAAATATGTAGACAAGTAGAGATATACAAATAACCTAAGAACTTCTATATGATGGGTCTTAATCAAGGAATGATGTGGCAATTCCAGTTACTCTGTTGATCAAATTGCATGTCTACAATCTCCAGACTATTGGTGGACTAGCTATTTTTGTATTTTTCCACCTTTTCACTCTACACTGAAGAATTTTGGTTCTTGGCTCAGTGAGGTAAATTAACTGCCTTTCTGGAGAGAGAAATCTGCATGGTCAGTACCTATTAACTGATCTCAGAAACTAAAGGCACTTTTGACATCTAATGGAACATTCTGACCAGCATTAAGTTCAGCTAGGTAAGAAAAAGATTTTCAGTGCTTAATCACATTGATAAAAAACTGTTATAAGGATGTCACCTTGCTTAAATGTGGGTCATGTCTTTGTTTCCAAGAGTTAGAGGCCAAATTATCCAGGATGAGTGAAGCTGCTGTGTGAGAATGAATGAAGTGGTGCAGTTATCACTGTAGTGGTGGATTATCAAATGAGTGTGCCAACCATTGAAGGCATGTATTAAAAAAATAGAAGACTATGGTATATTTGAAGAGCTGTTTAACAGGGGAGAAAGTGTAACTATCAACACGTGACACAAAATGGCCCATCCAAATTGTTGAAGGGAAGCTGATTGTAGAGACAAATGGTAGCCCATGATAGCGTATGCTGTATTACCTTAATGACACTTACCCCCTCTGTGTATTTTAACACAGCTTAAACAGGACTGCATGGATCTAACATAGTTCCTACACATTTTATAATCAATATTTAGGGTAGAGTACAGGATTACAGCATGGACTTTGGACACCCAAGTCTGCAGCTCCCATTGATTTCTGGTGGTGTACTTTGTTACTTACTGGCTCCTGGTGGTTTGCTTTTTTTTTCCTCTGAATTTTTTGAGCTAACTCACTGTGGCCTGAAGCAACTCACTTTGCCTTTCTGTACCTCACTTATATATAACATGGGTATGAATAATGACATCTATCTCACAGATAGTACTTATAGGCCACAGTAATATTATTCTCATAACATTGGCAAACATTCCTCTACTCCCCCCTACTTTGGAACATATTGGCTTTAATACCATAGACCACCTGATGCAGACAACATGCCATTGAAGTACAGGATTGCCAATCCCAAAATGCAAAAATCAAACTCCCCAAAATGAGATTTAAACAAAATAAACTGGGTTCTTTTTAAAGGTTTTTGAGCCTTTATGACATGTGTTTTCAATTTCAGGTTGTCGCCACAAAGGTTTAAAAAAAACCCCTCACTTTATCACATGACTGCAAGAGAAGGGGCTCTAAGAAAGGTAGCAAATATCACAAGAATTGTGATAAAATCACAAGAGTTAGCAACATTGACAGCACTGCAGTTAGTCAAGAAAAGGCCATATTATGAAACTGGTGGAAAATTACATTGAGCTAACTTTGACTTAATCACATTGGGCTCACTACCTCTATAATAGTCTCCAGATCTACATTGGCATTACAGTGAGCATTTTCAGCATGTAAATACAATGTTCCTTTCCCCCAGTTTGAAGGTGAGTGGAAAGATCGTGATACTACTTCCCCAGAGTTTCCTACAAATAGACAAAAGGGGGCGCCAAAGGATTAGAAAAAGGAATTCAGAATTTAACTTTAGTGGCAACTACTTTCTGGAAAGTTTTCTAACACCATGAATTCAGGCATCTAAAACACACTGAAAACTGAAGTGGGTAATGTTAACTGAACTGATTAATCTTGGTGTTATTTGTTGTTTCTAAATGGGCTGGACATAAGCAATCATTTAAACCTGCTTATAAATAGAAAATGTGGTTACACTGGTGTTTGTAACTCTGTACCAGAATCGGAGGTGCTAGAAGAACTTGTACTGTGCAGGTGCTGAGAATCATCGAATCACATGTAAACTCGGTGTGTGCTGGAAACCACTACCAGCCAGGGTATGCCAGCACCCCCAATTCCAGCATTTATAACCAGAATGAGTTCCCAGTCAAAGAAAAATGGATGATTATTGTTATACTAATTGGTCTGTTTAACAGTATCTGTTTAATAGCATTATTGCACACTTGTCTTCTGATGCAGATACCCACAAGAACGCTTGTGTATTCTTCTTCTCTTTTGTATTTTCAGGTGGTTGTCTTTATTTCAATTCCTTGGAAATTCTTGCCCTGTGTTTTGCAAAGGTGGTGAATGACTGTCACTCCCTGAATGTCCGCTATGCAGACCACAGTCCATCAGTGTGTGATCTATGAAGAATAGTCGGGGACAGATCTAGTTTATGGTTAATAACACAAGAACCTGGAAGTACCCAGGATCAGAGAAAAGAAAGCTCATGCCCATCATGATGACCCCTGTCTTCCAACCAAACCCCACCAGGAAAAAAACTGACAAAAAAACAACTACATCATCTTCTCAGTCCTTGCAGGTTACTGACTCTCCTGGGCTGATCAAAGTGGAGTTAGAGATGGATTATGCTCCAGAAAGGGACCACCCTGTCTCAAAGGATCTAGTCCAATGCAGAGTCTGTTCTTGACTCACAGAGATTTCACACTGCAATAGTTCAGTGAATCAGGCCCTGGTTGACTTTGACATGTTAGTGTAAAATGGCATGTAAATAAAGTCAAACAAATGAGCCTCACAAGATAGACCACCAACCGGAAAAGCATCCTGTTCCATGTTGCATCCTGTACCATGTTTTTATTTTTCTCAAAGCAAATGCAGCTTTCCCACCCCTCACCCTGTGTGTTGTGTATCTAAACACATACCAGTGACACATCAATTGGGTGTATAGGATTACTTTTCCTTCCATTAAATGTCATGGGGTGCATGTGTGTATTAGGACAATGGTTCAACCTAATGTTAAAGGCTAAATGAATTGCAGCTGCCTGCTCTATTTCTTGTTAAAAACATCATTTAGATTTTTGTGTGGATTAATATTGTCCTGGATATCAGAGCCTCCAACAGTCATTCTCCAGTAATAAGTATTTTTGTAATTATTTTACACTTATAAATATATGTACCTTGCAGACAACATTTCTAACATTAGTATTGATATATAAAAGTATATTCCTCTTAAGCTTTACTCTGGGAAATATGAGTTGATGTTTTAAAAGATGTATCTGAATCATGCAGTGTTTTATTAAATGTAATAAAGAATTAAACTCCTTTAACTCACTCATTCTGACTGGATAGTTACAGTACAAATTTAAATACAAACCTAAATGTAAGTGGTCTGTTTTTCAGAAGTTCTGAGCACCTTCTTGATCAGAGACTGACGTTATTTCAAAATAACAAAATGTGCATATACACAGCAAGGCATTATGTTGAAATAATGTCGAGATGGAGGACTTCTTATTCCAACTCCTGCAACCCTCATTTCATGAGGAGTACGGGAAGTCGAAGGAAGAATGCTCGTCCTTTGACTTCCTGCTGTGTAGACAGTACCAAAAGCCAAATTAAGCTATTTCAACTTCAGCTACACAATTGATGCAGCTGAAGTTGCTAGCTTAATTTGACTTTTGCCCTACCTTGTAGACATGCCTTTGGAGGAAGAGAGTGTGGTCTAGTGGTTAACACAGGGAAGGGGAATGCCTAGTTTATATCTCTTGCTCTGCCATCAGCTGGCTGAGTGACCTGGGGCAAATCTCTTAACACATTTTTACCACAGTTTAGCCATGTGTAAATTAGATATACTAATAATAGCCCACCTCTTCATGTTTTTTAGGCTTATTATAGAATGATTGGTGCTCTGAGATACTCAGAAAAAAATCACTATAAAATGTCAAAGGAATATGAAGGATCTGCAAAAAGAGTGGATCCTGATGCCATTGAAGGCAATGTTAGTTTTGGAATACACTTGAGTAGAAGCAGGGGTTGGGCCTTTATTTAAATGGCTTTAGTTTATTATTCTTTTTTCATAGTAAAATTGAAAAAAAAAAACCTCAGGGAAGCACACAGCTTTTTTGTGTGTAAATATTTAAATATTCAAGATGTATGTACCTGAGCCTAATTCCTACTCTGGAGCTACAGCAAGTTATCACACCCATATCTAATATTCTAAGGACATCTTTCATAGCAGTCTATAAAGACTCTATATACACTAAGGCTGTGTCTACACTGGGCCACTTATTCCAGAAAATCAGCCGCTTTTCCGGAATAAGCTGCGAGCTGTCTACACTGGCCCTTGAATTTCCGGAAAAGCAACGATGCTCTACTGTACAAAATCAGCCGCTATTCCGGAAAAACTATTCTGCTCCCGCTCGGGCATAAGTCCTTATTCCGGAACACTGTTCCGGAAAAGGGCCAGTGTAGACAGCCCAGTAGTCTTTTCCGGAAAAAAGCCCCGATCGCGAAAATGGCGATCGGGGCTCTTTTCCGGAAAAGCGCGTCTACATTGGCCACAGACGCTTTTCCGGAAAAAGGGCTTTTCCGGAAAAGCAGCCTGCCAATGTAGACGCTCCTTTTCCGGAAAAACTGAAAATGGAATAGTATTCCGTTTTAAGCATTTCTGGAAATTCTGGAAATTCATGCCAGTGTAGACACAGCCTCATTCTAAATAAACTAATAAGGGTTAGAATGTATTAAATAATTACTATCGCAAAATGCACGCCATAAAATAACAGGATGCAATTCAGGTGCAATTTCATATTAAAAGTAGGTATCCATGATGTTTTTTGTCCTTTGTTCACACCTCTCTAAGGGCTTAGACACCCACAAGAACACTTTACTGAACTCTTTACTCAGGCAAAGCTCCCATTGTAGACACACATCTATAGAGATTTAACACATTTAACTTTGTGTGTTGTGAACAGTTCCATTGACTTCAGTGGGCTTTAGATCAGGCCTTCAATGGAGTAATGAAGTCAGTGAGAGTTTTGTGTAAAGAAGAGGTGTGAGATCAGTCCCTTATAGCAAACTTTATTTACATATTCTAAAAGCAAATATATTATAGATTTGACGTGTCACATTTAGGATTTTTACCCATATACCTTGTCTTTGAATTAGATCTTCTGACTTTACTGGAAAACAAACTTGATACTGTTTGGATGGCAGAGCCAATAGAACTGCTGGATTCTTCTCCACCTTGTGTATTATCAGCAATTTTATTCATATTGCAGGCTCTTTGTTACTGGGGCTGAAGACTGAGACAGAGAGGACACATTTTAATTTTCAGGTCCTAGGCTGAGTTGACAGTTATTTTTCAAATTCTTTCCTGAGGTAAGCAAATCGAACAGGTAACCAGAAAGAGCTCTAGTGGACTGTTTTAGGGAGTTGTCCCGGATGGATTGTGGAGTAACTAGCAATATTTGATATAAAGCAACTTCTATCCTGGGAATTTGGTACCTTTTGAATGATGTGATTGCACAGGAAGGTGTAGAGACTCAGAAGCACACAAGACTGATTTTAACCCTCACTCTCATGGCCAGTTCAATTGTTTCCTCTCTCTCTCTCTCTCTCTCTCTCACACACACACACACACAAAGGCACCAGCCACTGTGCAGACTAACTGCTTAGAAATTAGTTTCAGACTGAAGTGATTATATAGCTGTGTGCACACAAGTGGGGGCAGGACAAACCACCTTGCTGTATCGCCTGGTGTATAGGCAGACTAAGAAAACTGCATTTGGTTTGGTTTGAACGCAAATCAGTCCAGCCTCTATATGGCTGTGTCCAGACTCAGGGGTTTTTTCCGAAAAAGTAGCCTTTTTTCGAAAAAACTTCACCTGCGTCTAGACTGCAGCCGCGTTCTTTCGAAATTAAATCGAAAGAACGCGGCTTTTCTTTCTACGGCGGTAAACCTCATTGCACGAGGAAGAACGCCTTCTTTCGAAAGTTCCTCTTTCGAAAGAAGGTGTTCTTGAATGTAAATAGGGCTTCTTCGAAAGAGAGCATCCAGACTCACTGGGTGCTTTCTTTCGAAAAAGCAAGCCGCTTTTTCGAAAGTTCCGCGTGCAGTCTAGACACTCTCTTTCGAAAGAGGCTTGCAGTCTAGACATAGCCTATGGGTGTGCTCCCTGACCATAGGAATTAAGGGAGAGGGAGCAGGCACCTGATGCAAGGTTTGGTCGTTTAATGCGCCTTTGTTATCCCATGCAATGCAAAGCTAAGCAAGTGAGAACAGCAGGGAAGTTGGACACAGGGAAAGGTAAGGGGGGAGGAGTCTCTGCATTTGGACAGATCTTTCCCTGTCATTTAATGCCTGAACCCTACGTGTTCGCCTTAGCCCAGCCCTGCGAGCAGCAAGCACGTGGCAGCCGGATCTGCACCCTCTTCCTTCGAAGTTGCAGATCGCGGCGCTAACTAAAGTGGCTTGTACCCAAGGTAAGGGCGGTGCCCGAGTAATGTGTCACCTCGGCCACTTTTTCCAGCAGTGACACGTGTGTGTAGCGCCCGGCCTGAGCCCTCCAGCGAGGCCGGTTACTGTATTGCTTGCCCCGTTCAGTGTCAAGCCTAGCACTTCCCTGGGGCGTTGCAGCCTTTCGGTCTGGCCCAGCGCAGCGATCCTGGGCCCAGTCTGATCCCTGGAAGAAATGCCTTTTGGCGGGAACATCAGCAGGAGCGAGCCCTTGCTGCCCTTTGCCGCTGGCGCTCGCAGCCGGCGCGCGGCGTTCGGGTGCAAAGCAAAGCAGAGCAGCGGGGCAGGGCAGCTGAGGCGGGACGTGTCTCGCTGAAGGAACGCGCCTGTTGCGTTGCCCAAGGTGCTCGTCTTGCAGACGCACCTCGGGGACTTCTTGTAAAGTCCTCTGGAGTGACGAGCCGTCACGTGTGGAAACAGAAGGATGCGGGGAGTTTGGTGCAGCCCGCGCCCTGCTTCTCACCCCCGCCCCCAGAAGCTGCTCCGGCGGAGACCTGACCCAACTCTCACGCAAAGCGTTCGCGCTGCTCCTCCGCCCACAAACCCAGCTCCCTTCCCGAGCAAACTGCCGAAAACAATAGGAATAAGCCAGCGAAATAGCCACGGCACCGCAGAGTTCCTGGGACCGCGCTCGCAAACTCGGTTTAACAAAGGGGATCAAACATCTGGCTGGCAATAAACTCCTTAAGGAACCGTTTGTTGTCTCCCTTTCCTCTCTTGGGTGCTGGAATTAGGGAAACCCGGAGCTGCAGCACCCCGGGTTAGAAGTGGTTTCCATCAGATACAGGGTTTACACTTTGGTTCGATGGCTCTTAGCACCCCCCTACAATTGGTCCAGCGCCCCTGCTCATGCCTCTCTCGGGAGCCCTGTGCAGCAGAGACCCTGCACGCTGACAATACAGGCAGTCCCCGGGGTACGTACAAGATAGGGACTGTAGGTTTGTTCTTAAGTTGAATTTGTATGTAAGTCGGAACTGGTACATATTGTAGGGGAAACTCTAGCCAAACATTTCTCCAGAGCTCAGTTTTATTCTCCCACACCTCACTTCCCTCAGTTCTTTATTCTCAAGCTGAGGTGTCTGCTGAGAAAAGCCGCTCCTCGTCTCCCTGGTCTGCTGGGGGGGGAGGGGGGGCGCTAGCTTCGTGTCTCCCTGGTCTGCTGGGGGGAAGCAGCTAGTACGAGGTTGCCTCACCCTGTTTGTAAGTAGGGATCCGATGTAAGTCGGATCCATGTAACCCGGGGACTGCCTGTATATTGACAAAACTCTCATCAGAGTGTTATTTTTTTCTTCTCACGTTGTAATGCTCGCTTATATTTGCCTCGTGTGCAGTCATAGCCCCCTCTACGGGCACTTGAGGTTCAACTAGGAAATCTGTATGACAAGACCTTTCTGTTTGCAGCATTCATCTGGCTGTGAATGGATGTGGCGTGAAACAGAGTCCGAATTTAGAAGACAAAACACTCCCAGGGCGGTGTCGGTGCTTAACGCTGCATCCAGCCCTTACGTTTGGGTTCTAAAACGTGGGTCTGTTTCATTCCGTGTGAAACACAACTGCCCAGCAGTTCGTCCTGCTTTGTGTCCGAAAACCACACTCCTTGCTTCTCCTACTTATTGGAGATCCCGGCAAGCTTTCTAGCACACCAGGGCAGCGAAAATGTCCGCCCAATTCATGTGGCAATAGCGGGTCATTCCCAGCCCTATCAATACAATCAAAACCCGAGGGCGCAAATATGCTAGGCTGGGATAAGAGCTCTTCCCTTTGACTTGCTTTTGAGTGTGGCTCCTTGGCGTCTTTAAACACGTGT